GTGTTGTCAGGATAAAGGGGAAAGAGTAGGGAGGGCTTTAGGGAGTGCAATGAAAAAGGCTTGTCAACATTATCTGTTTTATTGATTTAACAGTAAAGGCTTGCCGCTTAAGCTTTATGTTGCTTTGCCTGCCACCATTGAAAATACAACAGCTGCAAATAAAAAACGATTTCCTAAAAAAACGTGAGCATTTTTTATTTTTGTATTTTATTTGTATCTCCTGCCTTCCAATTCAGGTTTAGCATGTATTGTTGTTAAGGCTGTTACACATTTCATCATCTTTATGAGTAGGCATTATGGAACCACCATGTTTAACTGTGTTCTCCCTCCCAAAGGGATCAGTGGCATTGCACACCGTCTTCTGTCGTAATGTAAGTTATAATTAATGTACTGGATCTTTAACAACACTTGCTTTTATGATTCAAATTATAATGTTAGTATATAAATATATTAGAGCATCAATATTTTTACAACTAATTTCTGTGGACCATGAATGTGTTTATTTAATTTCACTGCAATCCATCCAGACATTTCAATAATGTCAGCCTCACTGTAACAATGGGTACAAAGTCAGGGGTTTCACCAAGTTTAGTATCAAGGATATGCAGGATTCCTAAGAGAGGCCATAGGTCTCTGTATAGAAAAATCACAGCAATATATCCCAGTAGTTCAGACATTTCACTGTGGATTTAGAGGTATTATACTGAATAAAATAGTTTGACCTTCATGAATTCCTGTGCAATCCAAACAAGATATTTCACTCTAAATCACAAGTTTCATCCAGATACAATATTAAATGTATTGATTGGAAAAATCAGTTTCATTAATCAACAAATCAAAAGTTGAAATCAAAAGCCATCAAATCCAAGGAGAATGGTACAAATAAGTCCACAATATTTCAATTAGTGAACAGAAACAGCCACAGCACCACAGTAAGTACTCCAGTTCAAGATGGATGGATACATTTAGAGCTGCAGAGGATTTTGAGGATTGCCCTTACAAGTGTCCCAACACCCCATGCAGAGCAGAGAGCAGTGGGGTCAACAGAGTGTGTCGCTGGAACAGCTTGGTGCCCGGTAGGGTGTCTGTTGTGTCCTGACCTGTTGCGGATTATCAAAGAAGCTTTGTGACATGGTTGTGTCAGACGAGCCGGGTATAACCAGAGGCCTCCTGCAGCTACCCAGAAACCCAGTCAACACACACAAAAGCCAAATGATATCGGTTATTTTATGTTTTTGAGAATGAATGGTCATGTTATCGCCCTGACCATATGAAAAGAAGTTCATAAATGCAACAACATTCAAAGGAGGTCGCACTGAGCACTGTTGGTATTCTCTTAGGATCGGTTTGTTAATGTTGTGCTGCAAAAGAGATATTTGAGGACTTAAAACGAGGCCAAAGTTGCAAGCACCATCACCGTCTTACTTACTTTGTAAAAGTATAAATAGCATAATTTAATTTGAAATATATACGAATTATGACACGTGTTGTGAGTAACAGAATGCATAGTGAGAAAAGATAATGATAAACGAACATGGCTTTTTTTCACTGTTACAATTAAAATACCAAAGTCAAAAAGATAGACATGGAATGACCAAGAGAGGAAGGCGTGTAGACAAACAGAATAAATGCTGACTGACGGGTGGAAGGCTGAATGAACACAAGCTTGTGCAGGAAACACAATCACATAATTTGTGTTAACATGTGAAGCATTGAAGTCATATAATAAAAGCTGAGAAAACCCTTCAGTATTAATTACTGTCGACATGGAAAAAAATAATTAGACATGAGAAGGAAACAGAAACTATTTATGGCAACCGAGGGGCCTTAATGATCAGACTGCAGCTAAAACCTCTATTGATTTTCTAGTTAAATATACAGCTCAATTAAAGATACAGCTGATTAAAAAACAACTACAAATTGCAGCGGGGGATCTGAACATGCTGGGGAAGCTGGGTAATGTGGGGCTCCATGCCCCAGTCAGAGAATTATGTTTATCCTCTACTTCTCCTCCATCACTGCAGTGCAGTGGGAATATAGGCAACAAAGGTGGGTTTCCATGTGAAAACCGATATTTCTCGTTGGGGCCATTTTTGAATGGAGATGTGATGCTCACAGGTGTACTACACATGGAAACATTTTGATTTGTATATTTATGCAGGGCTTAAAGAAAGTATTCCTTTCTCAAAATGTGTGACAGAACGACCCACAATATTAAAGCACTAAAAGCAGAAAATCAATGCCGATACGCAATAAATAACAACAAATATGCTGACCTCTGAATATATAAAAGGAGAAATAATCAAACAAGCAATACAAATCAACTTTCCTTGTTAAAATAAAACACCTGCTTAACACAAGCCAGACCAAGGCTCCCTTTTCTCCTTTCTGCCTCAACCTTGTCACTGACAAATAAAAACCTTGACAGTCTGTGTAGCCTCACCACGAGAAAGGAAGGAATTACAATATATAATGGAAAACCTTTCTGTTTCTCATTGAAGAAAAATAAAACATTTTAATGTCTATAAACTGATCAAGTTTATTTGAAGTTGCTCATGAGTTTTAGTTGCTGCATTATTTAGTCTTACATTTTTCTATTATTAAAAAAGACGTATGGCTGTTTCCAATCATATTTAGATGGCAACAAACTCAATTGTATTTATTCTGCCATCAGTTCTACATCTGAGAGAGACAGATGGATTGGTCTTAATTTACTGTTAAATAGCGATCAGAATTCTATTGACATTTGTAAACAAAATGTGTCTCTTTGCTCCTCATTTTCTTGTTTGATTTACAGTCAGTCCTTGCATTGAAATAAATCAACCAAAATGATTCAATCCTACGAGTGTGGAGGCAACCCAACACAACAGATGATATGCCTAATTATTTTGTAACAACATGTATACTGGTGCATGCATTTCTTTGTAGTCACCTTTTCTGCCTTAATTTGGTATGTGTGTGTGTGTGTGTGTGTGTGTGTGTGTGTGTGTGTGTGTGTGTGTGTGTGTGTGTGTGTGTGTGTGACATGGCGGGCGGCAAGTCCTAGTTTATTCCAACTTATTTGATCTGAACGGGCGTTGGCGCGGTACAGTGTGTTGTGTGTGTGTGTGTGGTGGTGCGTGCGTGTGTGTGTGTGTGCGTGCGTGTGTGTGTGTGTGTGTGGTGTGGTGGTGTGTGTGTTTGGTGGTGTAGTGGTGGTGTGTGTGTGTGGTGTGTGTGCTGTGTGTTGTGTGTTGTGTGTGCGACCACGCAAAACCGTACGTGGAACTCGCCGCTTCTATTAAGGGAGATTTGTCTTAATTTCGCCTAACATTCCACCCTTCAACAGTGAGGGTACTCGGAAGGTCTGGCGAGTCCGCAACATAATACCTTGTTCCGTCGGACGTTCGACGGTAAAAACGTGTTCTTGGGTGTTTACAACGACCTGTTGGTCCTCCTTCATGGTAAAATACTTTATTGAGCCTTAAGATACTTTTACATAACAAAGACATCACAATACAATTAGACGTAGTCCCGACTAGTTTTGTCAATCTCAACTTTTAACACACACGAACTAATTATTAATATACGGACTTACACACACACACACACAACACACACACACACACACACACACCACCACACACACACACACAACCACACCACACACACACACACCACAACACACACAACACACACACACCACACACACACACAAACACACACACACACAACACACACCCAAACTTGTGTCCCGACGTCACTTTCGGTATAACCAACACGACGGATAGGAGCCTAACTGTACCGAAACACCACAGGAAACACGGAAAGGAGGTAACGTACCGGATTGTAGAAGTAAGAGAAGATTTGAGGGACGTCCATGTGTGTGTGGTGATGGTGTGTGTGTGTGTGTGTGTGTGTGACATGGCGGGCGGCAAGTCCTAGTTTATTCAACGGAGGAATGTGTTTGAGTTTCCAAAACGGCTGCCACCCAGGGGTGCCAAATGGTTCAAGGCCTGCTTTGAGAACTTTCATAAAGCACCTTCTGTGAGTGAGTGTGCTGAGGTAGTGAAAAAACACAAACACTTTAACATGATTTTCACTGATAGGATCATATGTAAGCCTGCTGGGGAACATCTACTGGATCACCCGCAGAGTTTTACATGAATGTGTCCTTTTAAAAAAAAAATATGGCTTTTTATAAAATATTGCAAACACACAACCATCATTTTATTTACTTTCATTATTATTCAAACTTTGCAGCTACAAGTAGTACATGATTAAAAAATAAAGTAATATAAAGATGTATATATTGCATCCCACCTTGTTAGTATAACAAAATATCCTTTACGATTTTATAAAAATATAGGTACATTTAATTTTAATCAGTATGTTTTTCTTGCCGGACAGTTAAAACGCTGCTATTGTCTGCTGCTGAGAAATCACATTTTATTTGTTGTATGCATTTTAACTCAGAGGATCCCCCTAAAATCCATCTTCATAGTAATTTGATTCAAATAACGACCATGCCTACTGCTCTTATCCTTACAAATAATTCTGTATAATAATAAGAATCTCCAATTAATCAAATGTTTTCATGTGTGGTTTCAGAAATGTGGCAACAAAATTGCCCCAATACAATTATAAGTCAAAATATTCTGCTAATAAAAAATAAAAAGCACAAAAGTATGAGAAACTAATATTGGAATATTTGTGTATCCTGTCACCACTGAAAGATACCAGAACACAAAGACTGGATATATTCAAAACATTTAAAGTGGTCGAAGATTGAAGCCTTTTTACATGAACAGTAATGCAATTCATTCAAAATGTATTCCCTATATAGTTTGACAAATGAGACACCCTTTTTTAAAATGACAAATCCAATATAAAATCTTCCGGCTGCTTTTTATTTGACGCCCATTGCATAAAGCTTGTCTGCTCCAAGGCCTGTGGTTGGGTGAATAATCTTTAAAAAAAGTAAAAAAAGAGGATAAATTGCGCCTCCTTGTGGTTTATACCTGATTTGCTCATAGGCTTGTTCCACAGGACTGGTGCCCATGGCCAACATGATGGACCTTCTCTTGGCTGTGGAGATGGTGATGACCACCACCCGGGTCAGCACCAAGATATTCACCTGAGAAAAGGATTTAGAAATAAGAGATGGCAGCGTTACAAAGAAATTAGTAGAAACAAGTAAATAAATATGGAAGTGAGAAATGCATATTGACATCCTCAGGGGTTTGAGATTGTTGGAGAGGAAACAAAAAGAGAAGCATGTACGAAAAAGACTGCGGTTTCTAAAAATCAAAACATTGTGTCGTAGTTTATTGGTACATCAGCTTACATTGTCAAACCTAATGTAGAGCACTACAGGAAAGAATTACAAGTACACAATGGCCGTATGTGCCTTGTATTTTTTACTATTTTAGCAAGATACTAAATGTTGTGATTAGGATTGAACTCTGACCATGATGATGAAGATGACAGGTCCAGCAAAGCCCCATATAACGCCATTCTGGACACTGAGCCAACAGTAGCCGTCGGCTGAGTATTTGCCTGAGGCTGATGCAAGCGTGATGGTGACTATCAGCACAGGCAGACCTGAAAGGAGGGAGGGGAATACAAGGGAAATTACCATTGTGATGCAATTAGTCCCAAACGTGAGGCAAACACATATTATGGTTTTAGAAAAGTGCTATATTATATTTCCTACACATATGGTATACGATATGTAATCAATGTTTATCATCAGTTTCATGTCAATCAGAAAAAAATGTTGAAAAAAACAAAGGGGCAATCCAAATGGTTTTACGTTCATAACTTTACAATATCCTTGACACAGTCATAGACATTCACTGCAGGAGGGAAGAGAGTGATTTGGCTCTGTGAAGTCTCTGTACCCCAGCCGATGAGATAGTAATACTTCATGTGTCGCTCCTCGCTTAGGTTGACCGCGACCACCTTGCTCCAGAGCAGCAGTCCCTCCACCAGCATCCAGCTAAAGGCTGCCATGAAGAAGAGATGGAGCAGTGCTGCCACAAGTGTACACGCCACCTACAAAACAGCATGTAGACAGATACAATTTCAAGTATTCAGATTAGGATCTCAGCTGAAACAGTAACAAAAAGAAAAAAATATGAATTGGCAAATTCCATCTGACAAACATAATTAGACTAGTATCCATTTTGGTTTATTGCACATTCATTTTTTACTCTTATTTGCAAGCGTAATTTTGTATAGAAATTATTCTCACTTTGAAAATTCAATCCGACCTCCTGTTCTCAAGACAAGTCCTAATGAACTGAACTTCTAACACCTCCAGACGTAAAAATTAATAAATGTTGTTGCCAATTTCTCATTTGAAATACAATAATTACAGAAGAATGGATGTGGAGCCTTTACGTTTTCCAATAAAGGAGAGGTTTCTGTCTTGAAACAAATGCATACAAACAGAGGTTAAGATGGTCAGAGGTTAAATGGGCAACTCACTGCCGTAGATGATGAATGAGGTGACAGGGCTTCACTATTATCTAATTTACACCATTTGCCATACTGAAATATTTTACAGTGTTGATGAACTAAAGAATGTTATAACATTTTATGCTCAGAAAATATTAAAACGAGGGGCAAAAGTGGATAGAACAATTAGAGTTGGTTGAAAAATTAGGAATACCATACAATCCATAAAATATATGATTTATAAGATAAGATCAGATTTAGAAGATTCGCTCCAGGCAACTATGTCATGCAAAACATTTAAGCCCTTAAGACTTGTTCATCGTGAAAAGCTCTGGATTGGAAACCATGTGTTCAAAACCTTGTTAAAATCTGACAAATTACCTTCCTGATGGTCATTAATCCTATATATATATATTGAAACCACTTGATGAATTTCCAACAAGCAGACAGCTGCCCCCAGGGGTAAAGCCCACCCTGACATGACCTGGGGTCAAAGGAGCAGGGGTCAAACCAACTACAGGCCATTGGGCGACTACTGAGAGGCTGAACCATGTGTTCTAGCTGATGGATACCACATTAGCTACTTGTGTAACATCCAATGACAAAGCATTTGTTTTACTAGGATCCCAGTATGGATTTAGATTTCAAGTCTCATTAAGGAAGCTATTAAAAAACAGGGCTGTGGGTTGAAATAGACTGTAGAGACGGTAGAGAAAAGCTTAAAAGTCATTTTTTATAAAAGGCTTATTGCCATGGAATTTTAAAATGTTTTTAATTATTAAGTAGTTGACTAGGTGAAAAATCGTTCTAATAACCGTAAATCAGAAATGTGTTTCCTTGTATCTAAACACAATAGGTAGCTACGACTTTCACCTTAGGACTACACCTTAATACTATTACGATATAAAAGAGTAAATCAAGTGCCTGTACCTTGTTGTGGATGGCAGAGCCGCTGCAGAGCAGGATGACCTGGGCGCAGATCAGAGCAATGAACAGGTTCTTATGGATGGACGTCCTGTCAGATTTGGGAATACTAGGGATGAAATGAAAAAAAGGGTACATTTTTGGAGGAATAATTTGGGTAAAATATTATATCACAATATTTTGAGTGGCGCTATTGTTTATATATGAAACATCAAGTGTTGACCTTTTATCATATAAATAAAAAGAATGCTTTGTATAATGTACACTTTTAAGGTAACAATTGCTTTTTCATTACACTTAATTGTACAGGGTTTTTTGTGATTGCAGGATTGTCAGAAAGTTGGTAAAAAAAAAGGACATTGTTATACAATTTAGAAATCAGCAGAGAACTTCAGGGCATAAGATAAGATACATGTTGACAATATGTATAACTTTCAGTTGAAAAAAAGCAGCGACAAAAAAATGTATTATCCTATCGCAATGCTCAGCATATTGCAAATCGTTTTATCTGACTGGTATTTGGATTCTGCTTGTTCTGAAACAAAAAGGTATACATCGCAGCATCTTATATGAAGACATATTTTCTGTAGATGGCATTACTAGGTTAAATATTTCCTTTTCAGGCAACATAAATGAAATGGATACCTGAATGTGGTTAAGAGAGATAAATGAACCCTCTAATGAGCCCTCTCATTACCTCCTGATGGGTTCAGCCTATTTAGCCCTAATTCATATCTGCATCACTGCTTGCGACCACCATCATTTCATGGTGTGATTACACATCCATCTATGGACATGGGTACCTCTACTTTGTCTGTTTGTGTGGGAGTGTGTTGATGGTGTATTAAGTACGCAAATGTACATCATACACCAGCACGTGTGTGAAAGGCATGGCTGCACTCTCAGACTTCAGGACAGTCATAAATTGTCAGGGCAGCTCCTCTCCAGCTGATTGTGATCCCTCGGTGACCCTAATGTTAATTAACGGCTGCAAAATGCGGCCATAAACCTTCAGAGTGGACTCACATGTAGACCTCAGTAATTACTGGATTAGCACTAGTCAATACTCATGGCAGCCTGAGGAACACAGCATGAGCAGTACAATGGCAATACGTTATCTCTCTCTTTTAAGTGTGTGGACAAGAGTGTCACATCAAAGCCCAGGAGGAGATCCACAAGACGACAGTGGAATTATGACTTTGTTATTTTATTATACATAAATTAAATTAAATGATAAACCTAACAAGTGCTTTGTCTATAAATCCATACAAACAGAGAAGTGTGTATTTACAACATGGCAGGCAGCAGTAATTTATTTATATTTGTTTAAAATGTTATTGATGCAATTAAATAGGTGGATAAACCTGAGAGCCAAATTATCTGATGGCATTTGAAGGTCCTTGTACTAGTTGTTTCTCATGGTTCAGATTCTACATAAGGATGCCTGAAAGTTGATTGCCACATAGCCATTTTTACTTATAATAGTTTAATTGATTTTAAGAGCTCCTTTTCATGGAAGATCAACGAGCTAAATCATTTTCTTTCAGAGCCTAGACAGTCAGAATGAAATACTAAATATACAGTGGACCTATTGTGTTAAAAACAGTATTATTCATTGTTTGTATTGAACTCTTGCTTTCAATCAAGAGAATGTATTTAGCATCACAAAAAAGGGCTCAGAGGGTGAATTGTATGCAGTATGGTACAAACAGACAGAAACTAAGCATATCAGTTGGAATTGCAGATAAGCTGGATAGGAAAATCAGCTACTCACTCCAGCACAGTGAACAGCATCAAGGTGACCAGCAGTGCACACAGAGATGCACCCGCGCCGATGAACGTCAGCTTGGTCAAAATAAGCTCTTCCTCAGGACTCCACTGGGATAAAAAGGGGATTTTTGTAGTGAGAAAGGGAGAGAGGATGAAGGTGTTTTAAAATCACAGGTATAATCAATCTTATGCCTTCTCAAAGACACTGAACTCTTACCTCATAACTTAACTTGTATAACCGCTTAATGCCATGTTAATGTACAATTTATTAAGCCGCTAATAGTTTTGTCTTTTTTTCATTTTACTACATGTATGTGCTCTACATGGACAGACAACATAGTTCAACCAATGCATTTTTTTCAAAAGGATATGCACACTGGGAGTGACACCTGCTGGTTAAATTGTGTACTACAAATCCTATCCACAATTTTTAGGGTTTAAATATGACAGCCTTGATTTAGATTCCAGATTAGCAACATTTATAGATTAACAATGTGTCCCATATGAGGGAAAATGCAACAACCAAATATTACAGGATATAAACCACATATGTCATTTGAGGTATAAATGTTGTTCATTTGAGGTATACATGTTGTTCATTTGAGGTATACATGTTGTTCATTTGAGGTATACATGTTGTTCAGCATGTATGATTTAACACACTGCATCACAAATCATATCTGAGTTACCTTGGACTCCAAGTAATTCATCAGCACTGCAAAGTTGGTGGTGTGGTTACAGAGACAGGAAGTAACCCCGGAGCCAGCAAAGGTGACCATGCAACCATCACTGGACCAGCTACTGGTTTGATTAGGCCTACACAGGGAACACGCAAGCACAGACACAACTCATCAATTAGTTGCCCGGAGTGTAGAAACTAAGCATTTAAGAAATAAATGATAACAAATATAAAGTTATTCAAATCTCAAGGATATCTCACTTTAGAATTAAAAGTAAATGTATTGGTGTGATCAACATTAAAATACACAACATTAAAAAATTGATATATGTACTAGAAATGAATAAACTGTTACGTCTTAATATCAGCCTCAGTCTCTATTGCAAAAGTACATTTGTTTATGCGTCTGTGTTGTTGGATAAACTTACATCAAGCTGAAATTCCAAAAGGCACAAACGGGACTAACTCTCAGTGAATACTCCACCTAGAACCAGAAACACATGTTTGCACTTGTTTTCTTTCACTTTGAATATATTACCTTGGACTCCAGCCAGCCAAATGTGACATGGATAAAAAACATGTGCTGCTTGCTGGGAGATGAACATTCTTGTGTAGTGACACGTTGCATTTGGTGAGTTTTTGTTTAAGTGAGTTTAAGCAGGAATTGCAGTTTCAATCCAGAATATAGCATTCTTTAAACTCATATACAGCTTAATTTACATCGCATCATTTTCAAAATCAGATCAGTTCAAACTATTAAAATGTGTGCTTGATACAGTGAGCTTAATAATTATACTGCTTGACACTCCCATGAACAATGGACCGTACCACATGTGATGAGGAAAGGGTGTACTTGACGGCCACAGGGATGGTTTGGCCTTTGGAGGCATCGCGCACGGTGGCTGATATGACAACAGAAGCCAGGTGACCGGGGAGAATTCTGGGAAAACAGAAAATGGCTACCACTTACACCTATCTTGCGATTTAGAGGGCATGCATAGACTAAATTACTTCAATACAAACTTCTGGTATCCACTTATGCTCACTCTTTCATTATCATTAGAGTCAAAGCAAAAGCATAGCTTATTTAGTGTAAACGACGGAACACAAGGTAACTTCTTGATTTTTTTCGTGGTTTAACTTTAACGTATTATCAGAGCAAAGTGCATGGGTAAAATTAAGAACATAAGGCAGAATACGGCTAACCTTTTTACTTTCTCCTGGTGACTCTGTGATGGCTCCTGTGTTTCAGACACAATCTCACTCAAATGGCGGTAGTGGGTATGAATAAACATCACTTCCTCATATCCTATTCAAAGAGAGGTAAGAAGACAAGTAGATTTATTTTTGTCCTTGATTGAACCAAATACTGCACCAACCCTTCAAAAACAACATTTACACATTGATGCCTAAAGCAAATACACAGTTACATTAAATTAAGGAGTATATTTTTAACCAAGTCCAGCTTCCAAAAGCCTGTCTGTCAATAATTGTAGGTTTATTAATATTCTGTAGTCCTAAAAGTTTCATATGCTAGAAGACTTTGGGCAGACACAAGCAATATTTTCACTTATGGAAATGGCCTTGGTAAATGGTTGCGCTGCTAATGCCCTACTTGCTATTTTGTTTCAATAATTTAAAGACATCAAGTGCAATTTAAATGTGACTCAACAGATATTGTGATTAACATTAGTAGATGTGTTTAAAATTGCTTGAAGGATATAGAGCACACAGGCTATTATCTACAATTATTTAGCCATAAGATGGATGCTAAAATGGTGTATGCAATATATTTGTTGGTTTGATTTGATGAATGAGCTGAAAAGTGCTGCACAAATGTATATGTCAAATAGTGCAGCTACTGTACCTTACATTTAAAATAACAAAAAAACAATGGCAATAAAAACATTGCCAAGCATAAGTCAAGTCAGCAAAGAATGAACAGCATTTGTTGAGCGGCATGGTACATACCATTTGTAAACAGATTCTCACTTTGAACAACAGTGTGTCATGTTGAGCAGTAGGAAAAATGGGCACATATGCATGTTGTTTATGTAACAAAACTTGCATTACGTCAGTTATAAGAGCAGGGCCACATGTTTTCCTTTTCATGTGGATTAGCCCCTACGACAAGTGCGTGCGTGTGTGTGCGTGTGTGTGCGTGTGTGTGCGTGTGTGTGTGTGTGTGTGTTTGTGTCCTACCCAGAGCATGTATCCTGTGGAGCTCAGTGTCAGGAATAAGCAACTCATCCTGACTACTGCTGCCAGCTGTGTGAGAGCTGACTGCAGATGGCTTGAAGACTTGACTAAGGCTCTCTTCAGTCAGCTTTTGCCACATCAGGCAAACATCTTTGAGCAAAGACAGCACATTAATAGTATTAGAATGAATAGAAACCGTGAAAATAAATACAAGCATATTATTATTTAGCATCAGCTAAATGCAACATAATGTAATTTATTCATCTGTGATACAAAGCCAAGAGCTACCAGGTTTGGATCAATAACATTATACATGGTAGACCAATCAGTGTTTCAAAAACCATTCCCTGAATTGTGTAAGCAGAGCAAATACAAGGAGATGAAGGAGTGGAACACAACTTCAAAAGTCAGAATAGCCTGTATTTTGAATTGAGCGACCGACAGATAATCAATATGTTTTTATGTGTAGTGGGATGTCTCTGATTACCTATGTTCTTGGTAGAATGAGTGAAGCCTCTTTTCTCAGCAGATAGACTTTTTGCAAGAGTTTCAGTGAGACTGTCAATGCTCTGCACAATAGTAAATGGTCCCACGCTGACCTGTACAAGAAAAACAGACCCAACAATAAAAATGGTTATTGAAGGAGTACAACATATGACTTTCCAGGGTTAAGAAAGTTAAAAAAAGATATTGTGCTTAATCCCTGAAAATGGGACCAAATGTATATACATATGTGGGAGACCTTTGCTGATATTTAAAGTGACAGTTTCGTAAAGTTACTACCCAAAAACATGTTTTTTTCCCAGCAGGATTTACTACTTACAAGATTACACTTAAAGGTGGGGTAGGTAATTTTGGAGAAACCAGCTCGAGTGCGCTAGAATTTGAAAATACACAGCCGGAAGAAATCTGCCACTTCCTTACAGAGCCCTTCCTCCAACACACACGAACGTGCTAATGACCAATGAGGGCACGAGATAAGTTTGCTTTTTACAGCGCCGCAGCTTCCACAGATGAAAGCACTTAAGATATTCATTGCTATCGGGATGTTAAGTTAATGTTGGAATATAACAAAGTGTATCTCGAGCCGGTTTCTCAAACCCCACCTTTAAGCTGTTGTTTTTTTTGTTTTTTGGGGAGTTTATAAAAATGTGAATTCAACTTCAAAGATGTTTGGGGAGTTATCCAGACCAGATCAACACAGGCCATCCTCTTACCCCGTCCTCTGTGAAGCCCATCCACTGTGTAGCCATGCCGGGCTCCAGCATCGAACTGGCCACCTTCAGGTAGTTGGTAGCGATGGACACCATGACTTCTGCTGCATCAGATCCAGCAGAGTGAGAACCAGCCAGTGAAGTCAGGTCCTTCTCAATCATCTGGGTGAGGTAAAGGACATCACTGGAGGTGAGGAGATGAGAGCCTCCCTCCTCCACCTCTTGCAGAACAGCCTGGGAAAGCTGCTGCAGCAGGGCCAGGTCTCTGTCCCAGGAGCTGTTACCACTCACCTGAGGAATAGGTGGATTAATACAAATGCTAAAACTGAGTTTAAGTACGACCAAAACACTAATTCCCTATCGACACACCTCTTGATCAGGCTAACCTTTCCTAAGCACACCGTTTTCACCAGGATTATTACCCAATTAGTTAGTACTTGAAAACATTCTGTGATCGAAAAGTGTAAGCACATATTTATATATGTATATATATATATATATATTACCATGATTTCCTCCACTAAACAGACTAAATTTAACTATTAATTATAGAAAGATATTGTGTGGCGGCAAAGTTGTGATATCCTTTTTCTCTCTTTACCACAGCAAGAAGAACTGTACTCTGTATTCTGAGTTCTTGAGCTGCATCGATTCCACTATAGCCTACTGTACCACTAAAGTGATGATTTTCTTTCACAAACTGTTAAAGGGTCCAACTCACAGGTTTGATGAGAAGATCTTTGTTCAATCTACTGAAGAATGGGGTCTTTGGTAAACTGATAACATCCAGCACTTCTGCAGACAGAAACATAGACGAATATAAGAAAAAAAATGCAATCTATTAGAGCCAAAGCACAAACAGCCTTAGACATTTCCAAAGATTCAAGGATCTCTGCTATGCTTACAAATGTAAACATTTAAAAGTAATCATTTACAAATTCTTAATTATAGTTATACTTTATAGGACTATTCTATGTAATTGCAAGGTAATGTTAAAGGCCCCCTATTATACTGTTTTTCATCAATATATTATAGGTCTCAGTTATAAACAAAACTGTTTGGCTGAAACACCAAACATATCATGCAATGTAGCATCCCATAAACCCCTCTGTTTCAGCCCTGTTTCAAAAGTGCTGATTCTCTGTCTGTTACTTTAGATGAAAATAAGGAGCCACTCCCCACGTCCCTCTGCAAGATATTTGGTTAAAAAGAACACAATGGTGCTCTAGGAGGAGATTCAGGTGATAANCAAACAGATCATGCATCCCATAATCCCCTCTGTTTCAGCCCTGTTTCAAAAGTGCTGATTCTCTGTCTTTACTTTAGATGAAAATAAGGAGCCACTCCCCACGTCCCTCTGCAAGATATTTGGTTAAAAAGAACACAATGGTGCTCTAGGAGGAGATTCAGGTGATAAGGTATGGGGGGGGGGTTGGTTATTGGCTAATGGTTACACAACCAAAAACATCGTTATGACATCATAAAGTGGCCAAAATCTGATCAGCTCATTTTCAGACAAGTTTTTATATAAATGGATCAGGACAAAAAGAGAGAGAATCTTTTTTTTCCTGAAAACGTTCAGAATCTATTTACACAGAGGGGACACATGTTTATGTATAAAAGACATGAAAAAGTGGATTTTGCATAATAGGTGACCTTTAAAGTAATGCTCTATTTTCTCTGTCTTTTAGGTTAAACTATAGCGGAGCAAATCAGGAAATTACATCAAGAAAAAAAGGCATAAACATTCATTGACATTTTTAACATGGGTACCTTTCTTATGNAAGCGACGCACATGAAAAAGTCTGGAGGATTCTTGTGCCAGGTAATAGCGTGACCTGTAAGGGGAACAAAAAAACGTAATGCCCTCGGGTATCTTTCTCATGCCTCTTTGCTAGCGGTTAGAAAAACTATTAGCCGGATGCAAAATCAGGAAGGTTCACACTCGAAGAAAAAAGAGGCGGGGAAAACATTTAATTCGAACATTGTGTACGGTAACATAGCCGTTACCTTCTGTAATGTGTGGCCAGACTGGCCACCTGTTGGGTGCTTTAACTTTGGCCGGCCCCGGCAGCTCGATACTTTGGAAAGGGCTTAAAGACATCACAATTCATTCAAGGCTCCATACTTTTGGCAACAACTCAACGTGGAATGTTTGATTCTGCCAAGAATGTCCGTCTTTGAGGGAATTCCAAGAACGAATTGTCCGTCACTGTTTAAAGTTTCCTAGTGAAGGGGAAATTGCTGAGGTTATTCCTTAATGTTAAAATTCCTGAGAATGAAAGAGGGACACATTGTCAGTCAACATAGTGTGAATTGATGCCAACACATATATTATTCATAACTCAGTCAAAGCTCATCAATTTTGTTCCAGGCAGATTTATAAAAAAATTTACTTCACATTCATAATTATGTGTAATAAACATCACATGTTTCTTTTCCATTCAACCCCCCCCCCACCACAAAAAAAACCCAAAATGTTCATATACCGTAATCGTTAAACTAATGCCCCCTCAGTGAAAATGTTTTCCATTGACTACACAGTAAATAATTTGTCAGTGCGTTTTAAAATGATCCACAATGTGTTTTCTGATCTGCTGTCCGTACGGGTATTGTAGAGATAGTGTGCAACAACAACTCAGTCATAGTTAGGTTGTAGAACAGCAAACAAATGATGGTCTGGTTGAGGCATCTGCTATTATTTGATTAGGGAAAGCTTGTGGTCATGCCAAAAACAACTACGTTTTTTAGATATAGTGAAGTACTTATTACTGTATATATATATATATATATTCGACATTTGTGTTTATTGACTTTGCAGTACTTTATCTGATCTGATTCTGAGGTTGAAGCTATTATAACTCTTGACTAAAGTTTTTTTAATATTTTGGTCACGTTTGTGGTAAAGTCTGTCCCAGATAAAAGCTGGTATGTTTTGTTAAAAACCTTGGTGTGGTTGGTTCAAGAGTCACTATAGGAATGCTAAAGCATTATGCTTTCTAAATGTTCACTTCAAGGAGGCGGAGCGAGGGTTCTGGGTTCTCATTGCTCATCGGGGAGCATGATGTCAGAACGGGAGAAGTTTGTTTTGAAGGGTGGGATTCTGAGTGACGTGATTCACAAAACATTTACAAGAACCATTATGAACTCTTACGTTTGCCAATTACAACTTGGTCACCATTCCCTATTCATTGAAGGGGGAGAGCAAGAAACAGATTTGCTTTTCCCTTCAATCGTTTAAACCTTTCAGAACGGCTTAATGCTGAAAAGGAAAACAGTATGTGTGTGTGCCATAAACTGGTGTGTGCGCATGAGTGTGTTTGTTTACCGTGTATATGTACGTTTTCCAAAGCAAGTCACAAATTTGAAAGGTATTAGCCAAAGGATATCCTGATCCTAATCCAAGTCATTTAATATAAGCCAATACCTGGCCCTAAAATTATTTTTCCTACATAATACAGTTTCAAGTTGGCATATTTAGAAATTATCAACTTCTCTCTACAAACACTGCAGAGTTGTATTTATCCATAAGGAAATTTTTTGAGCATGAGAAAAAAAAGATCTGGAATAAATCAAGGGCAAAGGAAACATTTGGGGGAAAAAAGGTTGGTCTTGGCAGTGGTATGATATCACACCCGGAGATGCTGTCTTTTTGTATTTTTAAAAACAATTGCGGAATTTGTAATGGTTCTGTTACTTACTCTTACTTTTGTGTACATCAGTATTCGCCAATCGAACTGTTTCCATGTTCCAATTACATTTGTTGACAAAAGCTTTAGTGATCCATATTTTTTTTTAAACAGTTTGGTTTTTCCATGTATTTATGACCAAAATCTAGAGTTGAGGGAGATGACACAGAGACAGACCTGATTTGTGTTGAGTTGTATCTGAAATTAATTATGAGCATTTATTGTACCCTGCATCGAATGCCAGATGAGTGGTGTTAACCACATCAGGCCTGCTCAGATCATGGCATGTAAATGCAAAGTGTGTAGTTCAAAATGACTTTCAAATGGTCTCTATGTGATTGTTATTTCTGCATAGCAACCTCGCCCAGCCCCATTGCCAAAATATCTAAACTGTAAACAACATTTGAAAGTAATGCTCGACTACCCCATTGGAACTATCAGCTAGATTTAAGTCTCTTCTGTCGTTATCGTGTAAACTGTCCTTGTTCTTGGTGATTAAATAAGATTCAGACTCTGGAAACCCTTCAGCTTATTCCTCTACTCATGCTGCATCTTAAAAAATGTACCTGGGATTTGACATGGGACGTCTCTCCACAACTTGGTAAGGGAGGTCGCTATTTCCATGGCTGCTCCATTCCACTTGAACACCAGCCCAGAGGAAATGGGTGAACACTGTTTTTCCATAGTGTCAATTTCGCTGCTGCTCAGCACCCGATCCCATATGTGCAGCTCTGTGATGCTCCCTGAGAATGACTCATCCTTCTTAAATGAATCTCCAAAGGTGTCCTGCTCCTGTCCCAGAATGAAAAGTCCATCAGGGCCAATTTTGTCAGAATTTAGGCCATTTCCACTAGAGTTCGCCCGGCCATCAATGAATATAGCCCAGCTACCACCAATCTGGCTCCAAGAAACGCACACCGAGTGCCAGGAGTCATCGTGCTTGAAGGCTTCTTGGTATGGTCCATGAATGCCATGAACCAGCAAAGCCAGCTGCACAGGCTTGCCCTGGATCAGGTTCGCGCGGAGCTGGAACTCATTTATATATGACGGGATGGAATAAGAAAAAATTGTGGAAATTCCAAAGCTATTTGGATCAAAGCAAAGACGGGTGCAAACAGTCACTAAGTTCATGGAGGGGAACTTGTGCAGGAGACGGGCATGCTTGCTGTCCGAGCGCCCTCTGAACTCCAGGATCAGGGTCTCAGAGGAACCTTCGGTTTCACCCAACACAGAGAGAAGAAAGAAGCATTAGCGGAGGAAAAATCTAACCACAGCTCTCGGAAAGGATAGAAACTAATCATACATTTCCACTTTGTGCATGGTCCTATTCCTACTGTAAACACTTGGTAACAGTAATTCACTGTGGCTGAGGGAGTTGTATAGCAGAAGGTCAGTACAATTGCATATTTAATGACACTTTTGTTAAGCCAGTGAGTAGGCGGAAAGAAGTCTTAGACAAGAAAAACAATAAGATTAGTATTCAACACAGAAAGGGTGCTAATATGTTATTATAAAGTGGCACGAATAGCACACTGATCATACTTGTTGGATGTGTCTTGACTTTCCTGGCAATCCACACAGGATGAGAGATCTTCAAGGATGATAAAAAGCTGGAAAGCTCTTGTATCTCTACTGAGCTGGAGACAGTGGCTAAGGCCCCAGAGCGCTGGTTACACAGTTCCTTTGCATCTTTCCATTCCAGCCGATCAGACACATACTCATAGTATGCATCGAATATAAGAGTTTTAGTTTCCAGTGTAAAGGCTGTTCAAAGAAGCAAAAGGAAGATTAGAATAACTGTTGGAAAGAGCCCCAAGAGAGCATTGGTTAAAAATAAATTGATATTCCAAATACCTTTTAATTCTGTTCAGATCATTAAGTTTGAAATGATAAAAATGTATAAGCTTGAATCAAATCTCAATCAAAATCAGGTGCACATTGTTATCAAATTTCAAGAAAATTAAGTAAACGTATTTCTCTAAATAGGACTTATATTTACCAATATAACATCATGCCATGTTGAAGGAGACTTCAATATTGATTGATTCCTTCAATTCATTAGGGAAGTGTTTACTGATATAATAGATCAAGTAAAAGTAGAGTCCTGTTCTCATTCTCATGACTTGTATTTAAAGTCACTTCAATCCTCTTCATCCATCATTTTCTGATGCTTGGTTTGAACTTCAGCAGATCATCTTTACCATGTCTACAAGCCTAATTACACTGACTTGTTACAGCATAATTGGCTGATCAAATGATGCCAGCTGTTAAACAGGTTTAGGGTGAGGGTGTTTACTTGTGCCAGTGACAATTTTAAATGTTAAGTGCTAATTATGACATTATAATAATCAATTAAATGTTCACACATTATCCCACTGGTCTCAACTGTGACCTTGCCATCAGTTTAACTTTGTATCAAAGTTCAGTTTAATGTAGCCTATTCATTAAATGTGAATTGGTGTTCAAATAAAATGAGAAATAGAAGGTAACTCACCTGATATGAAGCTGTGGAAACAAACCTGAAAAATAATGTACATTATGCTCAGCTCATTGCTGAAGGTTTTAAGGACATAAAATCACATTTAACTAGAGTTTTTTACTAATAAAATGAGGCGATGCACAACAAACTAACAAATTGTCTTTAGAAAAAACTGTCCTAGAGTGAAAACCTTGGTAAATACAAACAATAAGTACTCACCAGCAGGCCTATATTTTGGAACAATAACCAGTGCATCCTGAAAAAACGTACATATTAATGTTAAGAAATTTGAAAGTGCTAAGTTTTGTCATATTGATAAAGCATAACAAGCTAAACGAATCGATATTTACCTTAATTAGTCGTCTTTGGAAAACACTTTTTTGCGTCTTTTCATTTCAATTGCGTCGTGTCTGTGAACGCAACATTCAACCACTAACGGTTTTTGTTTAGTTCCTTTAGAAGTAAAGTATGTGTCTACTACCAGTCCGTCACTAAAGTAGGGAGCCCTGGCGGTAGCGGACTCCGGAGAGGAGGAGGGAGGATGCAGAGGGAGCTACAGAGGAGTGGGTGTAGCCTGGCTGCAGCTAGCAGAGGGTTGCCAAATATATGGTTCAAGGACCTCCATGGGCCCTTTAATGGGTTCCAGGAGGTCTGGTGCAACTGGAGGCTTGGACAATGACTTAATACAGTTTAATGCCAATCCATTCATCAACTTAGTGATTGCAGCCTAAAGTAGGAGTAGGAGTTCCTGAAAAGATGCAGAAGATGCCAAAATAGGACACAATGACCAGGCACTACCCCACCATTAATAAAGCAAAAACAATTGCAACAGAAACATTAGACTATGACATTAAGTGTAAATGTATAGGACATTGCTGTTAACTTTCATGTTTCACTGTCCACCCACAACAGATATCTTCGGAGTGAACTCCAAAGACAAAACGTGTTATGGAAGTCAATAAGTAGGTGTACAACATGGTGTACACCTGTAAGCCATTATTAGCATAGTTATACGCAGGGCATAACTGGTGCGCAGGTGCGCACCTCCGCCAAAAAAGAGCACCGGGTCATTTGAAAAAAGGCGCATTTGCGTACCAACAATGAGAGAGAGGGAGAGAGAGAAGAGAAAAAAGAGAAGAGAGAAGCGAGAGAGAGAAAGATATTTGCGAGTTGCATATGAACTCAGGGCTGGCCCGTAGCACTGGCGTAATAGGTGTTCGCCTATGGCGCCAGATCTTGGGAGGCTCCGCGCTGGTAGTTCTGGGAGGGGAAAAAAGTGTTTTGACCGTTGGTGCTCATCCTAATTTTCGGCCTTGATGTAACAATATTCATAATTACGTAAATGTAACACCCTTTTCACCCCGGTTACACGTTTCATTTGCCCTATACGATGGGCGCTGTAAGTGATGAAAATGGGGGATGTTGGCTTATCTGGCGCCCGCAGCTCACAGCCAAAGTGCGAGTGAGCGTGGGAGAGAGGGAGGGTGCACCGGTACCGGCGCTGTTGTTATTAGAATCTGGTGCTAGCTGCTCTAAAGGATATAAGAAGATGTTTCTACAATAATGTGGAGGGAGAGTTCTCTCCAATCAGACTGAGAGGCTGATAACCACAGCTCAGTAAGGTAAAGGACTCAAGAGTGTTATAGTTAACTTTAGTCTAAGTTCAAACGGTTTGGTCACAATTTATGTAAACACATATTTCCAAAGCAGTCCTTTATAATTATTGGGATAAACAGGTTTGAAATAATTTCAATGTATACTATAGGACAGTAACCAAAAATATCCTTTAAAACTGGAGGTAAAAATAAATGCATAAATAAAATGTTAATAGGTCAAATAAGATATGAATGAACACAAATAAAATAAGTTACATTCATTTGTTATTGGCTATGGTAGGTTATTGGTTATGTTCACATACTTATTTGATTACATCCACTTGTCTAAGATGACAACAGAGACTTTCGACCCAAAACCAGCTGTTGACTTGTGGATGCAAGCAGCTAATGGCAGACTCAACCAGAGAGAAAGTAGTAGGCCTACATCATCAGCTACCATGTCTGACAGAGAGGAAGACAGTGAGGAGAACAGTCAGGAGAACAGTCAGGAGGGTAGTGATGACAGCTTGTAGGATTACTGGTCGTGCTAATGTTGTCTTGTGTTCACCTCTGCATGTGTGTTCTGTGTTCACCTCTGCATGTGTGTTCAGTGCCGTGTGTGGCAAATAAAGTCAAGACCCCCTCAAAAGTTACGGTTTATTTCATTTTAAGGATGAGCACCAAGCAGCATCTCCAGGTGCTCCTTTGAGAACCAGGGCAAAAAAGTTATCACTGGTTATATGTTATATCATAGCTGTCATATAATCACAGTATTTTACTCAATACAAGGAAGCCAAATTAAGGAATGTGTATTTGGTAAAACACATCTAACATTTCCTCCTCAAAATGTAGACTGACCGGCTATACAGTGCCAATTCATGTTAGAAGAAATCTCCTTGTTATGCTATAAGGGTAGTTTTTTTTTACCAGGAGTCCAGCCTTTACCATAAAGTGATATGCAATATGAATAGCAGGAAAAAGGGAAAATAAAAACAAACCTATAGAAAATATCCTGTCCCTGATTCAAAGGAGGTGGCTAGCCCTTTGGCTTAGCCACCCCACTTACAGGAGCTGGAGGAAGGCAATCAACACAATAAGGGACACCTGTGTGCTGTTGGGGGAGAGGGAGCATGGATTCAACTGCAACAAATAACTGTTTAATCCTTCAACAAAGGAAAAACCTACGCTACAGGGTCCTTGTCAAATCAAACAATTTTATTGCAGAAGCATTAACATTTTATATTTTAAACATGCGATACAAAAGACTTCTTAAAAGTTCATGTTTTAAAAAGAAACACCAGATATACAAGTCTCTCCTGAGTGCAAATAGTGGCAGTGCCTGTTATAAAACACATCAGAGCATATCTTTATACAAATAAGCCTTCAAACAAGACAGACACATTTCCCTTATGAGGTCTAATATTTTTTAAAAATAGTTTCTAAACTGTTGCATTTTGACATCTTACATCTCTGAATTATTACAAAACGAAAAGAAAAAAAATTACCTATTGGCCTCTGAAAAAAAAAACAGTAAAAAGAAAAAAATAGTACAGTACAAGTGAAAATCATCCTTATAGCCAATTACTGTTCCTAGTCGTGTATCTCCATCCTGAATTACTGTTTAACGCTACACATTATTGGTAATGAACCTATACATTTTTTAGGCCATATCATTATTGCTGATGTTTCTAAGAACTCTATGCTCTGTAGTATTGCTGTAGTTTGAGGCATTGTAGGAAGTATTTTTTTCTTACACTTTTTTCTTTTACATTTAAAAATAGCCTTCCAAAAATTGCCAATATTGCTACATTTGGAAAGTCAAGTTGCTTGTATTTGGATACAACTTAACTTCAGCTACTTGTTTATCAACAGTAACTAATTCTCTGCAGTGTTCATTGCCTGTGGTGGCAAAGCTTTAAAAAAATCCCTACAGCCTGTTTGGTGTCACCATTAGAAGATTTCTCTCAATCAGCATTTCATTTGTACAGTAAATCCTACATGATGTAAGCAACACTTAAAACATAAAGTGTTATATAAATTAAAAAACCGCCCATCACACCCAGTGCAGGCTGTCTTTTGGTGACACACCTGGAGGGAGATAGTAAACCATCTTACTCACGACTCGATTTCTAACAGCAGTGTGAGTTTTTTTACTGAGTTCATCTCCTGTGCTCTTGTCTGAAGCAGAAGAATTTCTGCTCTCTCCTGGCTCCTGCTGGTCCCAGGAGGAGGAGAGGGACTGCAGGGCAGAGTGGAGCTCCTCTCGTGCCACCATGACACTCTGGAGGAAGGGAAGCTGCAGGGATGGATTCGATGCTTGCCCCTTGGACAGACCAGTGATCAGCTCATCCACAGCTTTGGCAGAGGAGGAGATCAGCTCTCTGCTGCTGCTGCTGCTGCTGCTGCTGCTGCTGCTGCTGCTGCTGCTGCTGAGGTTGGAGTCTTTGTGATTTCCTGGAAGGAGGATGACAGTCAGACACAAGAAGTGACAGCTCTAACAACAATAATCTGTTCAATATGTTCATGCTAGCCACTTTGAAAAACATGTATCCAAAACGGTATTCTAATTCAATTGTCTATTTTAAAGAAACACAGAAATAGCAATTCTGAAGAAAAAAGGAATACACTGTATTTTCAAGACACTTTGATCATATGCCTGATTGGCTGAGACCCTGGCTAAACTGTTCTAAAACACCACAATAACCCACACCCGTCACAACAACCGTTCATTAACAAACTGATGCACTGACTAAACATATGTATGTCTGTTTTTGCATATGTTCTGTTCTTAAGTTGATACAGATCCAACACAATATGGCAGTTTCATTACTTAGCTTTTCCTGAAATTACCTTTTTGTTGCATTATTGTGCAACTGAGCATTTAGAAAATAATCAATATGAATGTATTATTTTAGAAAGAAGCAGGAAAAATTGGCTCTGGCTCGTTACACACAGTTTCTTCTAGTGCTTTTGACCAATCGATGTATACTGTGGCTCTACATTGAAAGTTACACTGCGAAAGAGTTTTGAGGTTAAGATCCAGGCTGTGTGTGTGTCAGAAGATTACCTCGCAGGGCGGTAGACAGACAGGAATGCAGCTGACTGATGGCGTGGTTCAGCTGGAACAGCTTGGCCGCTGTAGACCTCAGTTTCTGCAAATGGGAAGCTGAGGCCCCCTCCTCCCTCTCCACCTCCTCCTCCCCTGGGCTGCTCTCCCTCTCCTGTTTGAAAACATGAACACACCCAAATAATGAGTACAAGACAGACCAAATAAACATTACCAAATGTAACACAGCCAACACAAACATACACATGCATATCATTGGACAAAATATAATTCTTAAAAAAAATACACATACTTAATTGTTTACAACCAAAGCTCGACTCAACAAATTACCTATCCTAATATTACCCAGTAAAATTGATTTGAATAAATACAAAGATCTTGTAACATACAGTTCCAGGTCTGTTTGTAGCGTAATGTGACTTTTTAAGAATCACATGGACACAAACACGCAATCAAGAGTTGTAAACAAGGTCACTGACTAAGAGGGTTTCCATATTGATGAGTTAATATAATGACATAAACCAAATGGCTGCCTTCCCAGTTAGTACATCAGAACATGAGGGTTTCTTTGTTTTTTCACAACAGGATACAGTTCCGCATACAACCTTTTTGAACAGAAGTGAAAATGGAAGTTTTGAATGGAATCCCTGTTTAATCGTTCCACATGTACACAGACAAATTAAGCATTTAACCCATCCTAGTATTAGGAGTAATGGGCAGCTATATACAGTGTCAGGGGGTGCAGTGTGGGAGTCAAGTGCCTTGCTCAAAGAATGCATGCCTACATTTTTGCCTTAATTTTTTTTTAAAGAGAAAAGAAAAAAAAAACATATACAGATCATTTTATTTTTACAGTGACTATAATGATAATTCATAAATCCTTGAAAAAGACACTTCTACTGCCACTGATAATCGCATTTTTTAAGATATACAAACCACAAGGTAATTTACAACCACAATGTGCAGTCCCGTTAAATCCAATGCTCGGAAAACACTGAGGTAGCTGCCTTAGGCTATAATTTAGGTTTATTTGACTACAATAACATTGTGGGTGGCAAAAGCCTCTGCGCATATATGTGTCAATGATTGGTTTAACAAAAAAACTGCTAGTTTGTGTGGCTAAGATAACGGCAAACAAGCCTGTTAGCTGTGACTGATGCCACTTCATTCAACACATTCATTACCTGAACGACCGTCAAGAGGCGACTGCAGAGAGATAAGCCTACAGAGCATTGAGCTTTACAGGAGCAATAAAGGCTGAGTGGCATCTTTAACAGGGCTGATGTGTGTGTGGGTATTAATCTGTAACATTTAACACGGTGTCAGGATGGAAGATGGTTTTAACCTTCAAATATCCAGGGCAGCTTTGCTGAACATGTCTTACAGCCAGGTTACTGTCACAAATTCAAGTGTTTTTTTTAATGACGCTGCAGATATCAAACGGCTAATTGCATTAAGCTAATTCTTTCATTCGTTATGTTGTTTTTCAGAATTTTTAAGTAGAATTAAAAGATACAAATATAAAAGTTTATCATTCCTTTTGACAGGTCTTAGAATTATTTCTCTTACATTTCAACTTCATGTCAGAATTCCCTAAAGTCTGACTATCTATAAAACACATTTCTCAACCCCACATCAAGGCCCCATTAAAACACAGTATTCTGTATTTGAGTTGGCAATTCATGACGGTTCAGAATTGTGTTTTGGCACCAGGAAATATTACATGTTATTATTACATGTCACTTGTTAGACGCTTTTATCCAAAGCGACTTACATACTCAATACTGTGGACAACCCCCACAGGAGCAATTTTGGGTGAAGTGTCTCAGGGACACAACGACATGCTGACTGCAGTGGGGTTTGAACCTGATCCCAACACCAAGGCTTTATCCACTGCGCCACACGAGGGGCGAGTGGGAGGGAAGCTCTGAGGCGGAGCTGATGACACTTTGAGAGGGCTAACACAATTTACACCTAAGAAACTATTTAGTTTCTGTTGGGAAAATACTGAATGCAGTGTTTCCCCTAGGATGGAGTCATAGCAGCGGTGCTAAGGCACGTGGGCCCAGCATAATGTGAGCGCAGAGCGCGTGGAATTTTTAGTGTGTGCACGTGCGAAGTGCGCCCCGCCAATTTGTTTCTATGTGTCAGCACAAGAAAGGCTCTTGAGGCCTAGTACCAGGGCCGGTTCTAGACAATTTGCTGCCCTAGGCGAGATTTTATGTGTAAAGAATAAATGAAAAATCTCTACAAAAGACAAATACACTGCAAAAACAGAAACTTATTGACATAGGTAATAGACATCAAAATGGCTTCAAATGTATTCAGTATTGTATGAACATGTTTGAATTNCATTTACTTAATTATGAATGTTGTTACATCAAGGCCGAACATTTGGATGAGCGCCAACGTTCAAAAATGTTTTTCCCTTCCCAGAGCTACCAGCGCAGCACCCCCCAGATGTGGCGCCCTAGGCGACCGCCTGTGTCGCCTATGCCAGTAACACAAATACTACAAATCCACATAAACAATCAAAAATGAAAAAGGGTCGCCACATATTATTTTAAGAAAAAAAAAAAAAGTAAAGAAAAAAAATATTCTTTTTTTTTGGGTACCTGGCTGGCGCCCCCTAGCAGCTGCGCCGCCACTATTTGTATATAGGGGAAACACTGGAATGTACTCTTCTAATATCAGAGTAGCACATAACAAAGGCCCTACGTGGCTGTGTACGTACCCGGATGTATGATTACCTAGAAGAGCGTCAGGACACACTGTTTTAGGCAGATGATAGCTATGTGATTAACATGATGATTCAGCCTCTATGGAGATAGACATATGACTGTCATGTTTATTGCTTACGCAGGTCTTAGCTAATCTGAACTAAACATTGAATACTGCTTTGAACCGATATTCTGCATCTTGTGACTGTAACACCCTCTCTCTTGTATATAAGCATGTCAAGGACACTATTCGGGGAACTATTTGTCCCATGCAACCTCTTTGTGTGATGACTACTTCCATTCTTGCAAGGATGATAAATACATGTGTCCTGATATTGAAGTTCAAGTCGGTGACGAGTGATATTTTTCAAACAGTTTCCTAAGCATTTTAACAAAAGAGGTGCAACAATTAGAAGCCTATGTTAACATAACTCCTATATGTATTTTGAATTTGCTGTTGACTTTGTAAAACTCACCGTGATATGGAAATTCATGTAGTTCTGCAGAGCACAAGCTAAATCAAGCGTCTTGGATTTCAGGCTCTGCAGGACCTGTAAGAAGAGATGGATTATCAATGGTGTCACGTTATATTTAGAATATTTACCCACACCTTAAATGAAATGATCAAGACAAATTCAATTACACAACTATGACAGCTTGTGTGTTCTGATATCTTACTGGGTTCCTGGGGTAGGCCAGCTGAGCGTCTCTCAGCATTTCTCTGGTGATATTGAAGCTCTCCTTTAAAAGAGAGTGGACGCCCTTATCAGTCCCCCTCAGCAGACACAGAACACCCGATTTCTGAAAAGATGAAATCATATAATGACATAAATCATATTTTCATTACCATATTTGTCGGAGAGAAATCCTTATTTATTTTTATTATCATACCTTTTACCTCTTTGTGTCTCTTAACCTGTTAAAATGTTCAATTTTGCTGAATGTTCCTGTAAAGTTCTTAAGATCTAATCTGAGGGGAATTTCTTGTTGTCTATTTTTAACTTGTGATGTGTGCAATTTCGTAAAGCACATTGAGCTGCATGTGCTGTATGAAAAGTGCTATATAAATAAAGCATTATTATTATATTTTGATAAAATGCCCTGGTCAGTCTGTGAAAGCTACAAGAAAAACCCATAATTCTCACTATGGTTACATATTATATTATTAAAAGATTGACCATTTGAAGCATTTTCTCACCATGTGTTTAATATAACATAATGAGATACCACTGCATTCAACCATCATCAAATCCAAAATGCTGTACCTTATTCAGTCCAATAAGTCCTCACCCTCAGCTCTGGGATCCACACAGCTAATATTCCATTCTCAAGTATTGTGGAGTGAGGGCTTGATTAAAGTGGACCCCAGAGCTTTGACAGCGATAGTAGCTGCTGTGCTATTGATGGTGCAGTTACCTTGCCTGTGGCCGTGGCCGCGCCCCCCCGCGCCGTAACATTCAGCGGCGTGCCTGTCACTGCCGCCAGGTGGCCGACTGAGAGCAGCGCTGCGTCCAGGCACTGGCTGCTCTTCCTCTTCGCCTCCGTCACCATCGATGTGATCTCAGATTCACAACCCTGGATGGGGAGATTATTTCCAGTCAACATCAAAAACAAAATAGAGCAACGGGTTTGAATTAAAATTAAATTTAACAGTAAATCAATGCAAGCAACATGGTCGACATAGTCTGAAGGGTCAGTAAATAAATACAAATGCTAGAGAATGTGAAAATCAGGGGAGAGGGAAATGGTGTGTTTAGGTGCTGAGGCTGGTAAAGAATTTAGATTTATTTTACATATATTCATGTTCTGTTTTGGGCTCAAGGTTGAGAATTCCCTCCGCTTTGCCATTTCCATAGACAGCTCAAACTGCTCAGAGCTAAGACACGTCAATTAATCGCTGCATTTTGATCAGCCACCCACCGTCAAAACTACACCAAATAGAACATATATATATATATTTTTTTTTAGGTATTCTTTTGCGCTCTTTTCAACTAATTTGTCGACTGCAAGTGCCACAAACGGCTGTTTATAGGGTCGCGGAATGGCCTTTAAATTTGTTTGTGTTTACCTGAATGAGCAGCTGGAAGAACCCTCCCATCTTCTTGACTTGGCTCTTGAGTTCCTCAGAGATGGTGTAGAGCCGGCCTGAGGAAGGTTTAACGATGGCCAACCACAGCATGGTAACAAGCGCGGCACCCTCTATGGCTGCTGTGGCCTTCACCAGGTGAGTCTGTGCCACCAAGTTACACACAAACACTGCAGCGAAAAAAGACATTGTAACAGTTCAACTATGCAGCAATGCAGACATTGAAAGCTGTTCCTAGGTCATTCAAATAGTCTGCAAATAAACTGAACAATTTATAAAAAAAAGGTACCGGTATTTCATCGAAGCTGAATACATAGCAGAGTTGGATACCAGACAATTACATACGATTTTATGCAAAACGATTTATGTATGTGTTATCTTACCTATGGTTATCTAACACCTTTGACCACTTACAAATGAAATGCTGCTGTTATTTTTATTTATTACTCATAAACAATAGAATTTAGGGCTTTACTTTACCGTTCTCCTGGCTGTCATCATCCAGGCTGTCGTATAGGTCAGATATGGTTTGCACTGCCTCATATATCAAGTGCAGATCAGAGGCCAGCCTGTCTGCCATGCTCTCTTCTGTCGCACTACAACTGCGCAAACGGGCCACTGACTGGCCAATCAGCTCCTTGCAGATGCCCGGCGTGGCAGTGTCTGTGCTACTGGAATGGGTGGAGGGCGGTTTTGGCACACCCATCAACCCTGGGACAGACAGTGAGGAGAAGGTGTAGGAATTACCTCGAAAAATCTTATTCCTATAACACTCATAGTAGAAATGCATTTCTGGTACAATCAGGTGTCGTACACATAGTTCATATAACAACAGTTAGTCATTGCATTTATAGCAGATATAACGTATTTTTCAACTGGACTAGATTCAAGAAGGTACCAATTACTACCGAAAATGCTGAAATGTTTAAAAATGTTGTTCAGTGCCTTACCAGCAGACTGTGAGGAGCTGTTGTGGAGGCTCTGAATCGGATGGACTCGAATCTCGTAGAGACGACCCGAAATTCTCCTGCTTTTCAACAAGCTCCTGCTCCTGATGCCAAACAAACCAGAAGCAAAACCCTCAGTACCCTGCTAATGCTTTATGTTTACATTTATCATAATTGTCGATATGCTAATTCAGAAGGTGCACCAGTGTAATTTGGTATGTTCTCCAAGGCAGTTTCTTACAACATATATTGCGGGAAAAAACAACATTATTGACATTTCAGCTCATGGCTTATCTTTCTGTAATGTTTTTCATTTGTGTTGCTATCCTTAATGGATCTGAGTGCCATATTGTTTGCGTGTGTTCTTAGGAGATTAGCGGAGACTGACTTAATTTACCTGGTTATGGTAATCAGAATCAAGTTTTTTTTTTTAGAAAGGGGGCACATCAAAACATTTGTCTTGGGGTTATTTTGCAAAGATTTGTAAGTCATGTGGGGGTTAAATTAGTTCAGGAGGAAAATACAAAAGTTTTCATTATTCTGAACAATTTAGAAGGTCCATAAACAAGTCAAACCGTGGCCATAAGGTTTAGAACCAGCTTTAACGTAGTTAGAGAGCATGGATGAAGGAACCACACAGCCTGTACCATCTGTCATTTTGCTGGGTCTGCTGGTAGTCCAGCCACCAACAGGAGCACCATAAACAACCTTGACAAGAATAACATCAATTTGAAGGGGAAATGAAGCTTCTGCATGTACTATGCGTTTGCGTTGATTAATAGAGTTAAAAACACAGGGACTCTCAATGCCCATTCCTTAACCACCTGGCATGGACTTTATGGAAATAAAATGAATAAACAGAGGGAAAAAATAAAGGAAATATTCTGTGGGCAGCGACTTCACATCAACATTTCATGAAAGAAAGAAAGATGTGTTGAATGTCAAAAAGATGTGCCAGGTTGTAAATTACATTGGTGGAAACAAGGATGACTTTGTGAAAATAACCAGAATCTTCAAAAAAAAAAGAAAAATTCTGTGCTCCATCCACATACTGTTCGACTTTCCATATACACTACATCCATTTGCCTGGCACATTGTTCAAGTCAAGAGTGCAGGAGGCTGTTGCAGTTCAATTGAGGGCTGTGGGTTTAAGACTTAAACACTGTGAGTATTGTCTATCCAAGCTTTAGAGCCGTAAACAACAGTAAGGAGGACACTTGCAGGGCGACTGTCTGACTGCACTTTCCCCAGGTGTTTTCAGCACTTGCCTACTCACACATCTAAAGTAATTGGACAAGAATACCAATTAAATCCCCAAAATGGAATGTAAATGTTCAGGCAAGGTGATAGAAGGAAGTGTGATGGATAGGGGGAGAGGGGAAGAGCTGGATAATTACCTTCGCCGTGAAAAGGAGGAGGTGGAAGCAGAGGAGGCCGATATATCTTGCTCCCACTCATCATCGGGGTCGTAAAACACATCGTCATCTTTAGAGGTGGAATCCCCCTGTGGAGAGTAAACTATTGCTGACATGCCCAAGTCTCATTTACTCAACTTAATGAGAAAAGCAGTGCAAAGTGAGGCAGCATCCCTCTGCCGGGCATTAAACAACCAATTCTGGACTGTAAATAAGGTCGAACGCCTGGGAAATAGGCAATTACACTTGAGGTGATGTCACACTCCGAGTATGCAGAATGAAGATCAGACAGGCTGGCTGGTTCAATGCGCTTCACTCAACAGCCATCATACATCACCTTATTAGGCTACTGATCAGGTTAAATAAGTGTGCATGAGCTTCCTAGGAAAGTTCCAGAACTTTACCGACACTGGTTTATCAGCTCTATCATGAGTCTAACATAGCAATTTCAGATCCTTAAGGCTAAAGGTTAAGGATTTTACCATAGACTAACAGTCAAGCCATATATTCTCTGCTTCCTTTTAGTCTATATAAAGATGAAGTAACTGGATACGATTTAAGAAAATTGGATGAAAACTTGGCAACACTTTTTACAAGTAAAAAGCATGACGAAGCTAAGAAAGTATCACCTTACGACAATAGAGCCTCTCGTAAAAAGAGCTGGAGGAAAGTGTTAAACCACACGGGAACATGTTCCCAGCGCCTTCCTGTGAGGTGAGTTTTTACCAAACTGACCATATGTGGCGCCCACAGTTTGTATATTCAAACATTGTTTAAACCACCATGACAAAAGACCAGGCTGTTTCCACATCAGGAATCAGCTGTTACTCTAACTCTCTTCTAATTCTTAATCAGTCCAGTTTTCAATTCTTCAAACCTTTTTTTCTTACTTTCACTAACTTACAAAGTGCTGACATGAAAGGCAGAACTGATTTAAGGCAGACCTGATCGAGTTCCCTCATGGCAGCGATGTTGTTTTGGAACTTGTCCAGGCTCCAGAAGGTGGTGATCCCCAGCTTTCTGTTTTGAACTCGCACCTGTAGCAGACCACCCGGCTCCACGTTCTCGTCTTCAGAGCTTTCGTGTCTGCAACAGAGGAAAGTCAAAATCATTTTCTGATTGTGTTATAGAGGAAGAAATCTGTCTGTGACGTCTAATATGGGTTAATAGACTGTTGGTTGTTGTAGCATCATATCGTATGTTTACCATGGCACAATGTGTTGTATTCATACCTGCTAAAGACTGTGTTTTTCTTTAGTTTGGCACTGATCTTATTGGCTTCCTCAATCATCAGGGACAACTTCATGGCATCCCACTGAGGAGGAACTGCAACAGAGAAATGAAACTCATGAAATCAACCACAAATACAGCCTGAGTCAAAGAGATTCTGGCTTAGGTGGTCTTAGCCTGATTTTGGAGCACTGGATCCAATAAGAACAATTTCAACACAGTTCGATAGGTTGCCAAGTAATACTACTCTTACATTTGTATTTTCACAGGCAGTCATTAGTCAGTCACTTCGTACATGTCAGAGAGCTCTTTTTTTTTCATTTTCAGTCTTTATTTCGAACAGTTTAAAAAATAACAAATACAAAACAACAAATGTGAAAAACAGAATACCGTATTGTTAAAATACAGTATTTATCCATATTAATGGTAATATTTGTATTAAATTTGTTTTTAAAAAGTCTTCATAAAATAATAATAATAAATCGTATGTGTCCGAAAGTGATCACAGTGATCAATTAGTTTACATTGTTTCTAGGGTTGCTCAATTAATCGTATTATAATTGTGATTACGTTTATGGCTTGCAACGATTACGAAAACAACGTAATCGAAATAAAACGATAATTTTTTTATTATTA